CCGTCGACGCTCGAGCCGCTGCCGCCGCACCACCGCCGCCAGGGCGGCTTTCGCAACCCGTGGGACTCGGCTTTCAAGGACGGCGGCTTGCGCAGCCGCGGCGGCTCCGGCGGCCGCACCTTCTTCCACAAGGTCGCCAAGGATCGCCGCCCGCCGGACGAGGAGCTCGCCACCATGCTCTTGCTGGCCACTACCCCGGACTTTGACCAGGCCGACGACGAGCTGGAGAAGGACGAGGAAGCCCTCGTCAGCTTCTGGATTGGCCACTGCACCTTTCTTCTCCGCGCCACAGGGCTGACCGTCTTGACAGACCCCGTGTGGAGCCTGAGGCTCGGCCCGCTGGGGCCGAAGAGACTCGTGCCGCCGGCGTGCTCGATCGATGCCCTGCCGAAAACTATCGACGCCGTCATATTGTCGAGCGCCTGTTACGACCATTACGACAAGAACGCCGTCGCGGCCTTGGTTTCGCGCGTCACCGTGTGGCTTGTGCCGCTCGGCTTGAAGCAGGTCTTGGTGTCGGCGGGCGTGCCGGATGACAAGGTCATCGAGCTCGATTGGTGGGAGGAGAGTGTAGTGAAAGGTTATACGTTTATATGCACGCCCGCGCAGCATTATAGCATCCGGGATGGCGCACTGTGGTGCTCGTGGGTGGTTAATGCTGAGCATCACCATTTCTTCTACTGCGGCGGGACGGGTTATCGAGCCATCGACAGTTCTGTCGGTGACAATGGCGCATACATTAGCAGATACAGTATTCGAAGTAATACTGCGTATCCGAATTGCCCAGCGTTCCAGGAAATCAACCGTCGATACGGACCATGCGATACCGCGTTTTTGCCCATCGGTGGCTCCAAACCCCGTGTCTTGATGTCAGGTGTGCAGGGAGATGCAAGAGACATGGTCTGCGTGCATAGGGACTTGGATGCGCATAGATCGGTCGTGCATCGCTGGGGCACGTTTGCTTGTAATGACGAGGGCATGCTGGATGCCGTTCGTTTGCTTGAGAATGTGCTTGCGAGAGGCCCTGTTCCAGAACGTGAAATTTCCTACTTGAGGCACGGTCAAATGCATGTAACGTAGAAAACAACCTGCTGCCACAAGACTCTCCACTAAATACTCACCGCTGCCCACTGTTTCCGTGTCAAGCGATCGCCAACACCAACAGTTCCATGACTACATATTTTACGCACGCCGGATAGTTAACGGAGCGGGATTTGAAATGTATGTAAGGCTGCACCCTTCGATTCTTTACAGGTGTAGTGCTCCCATTCATTTGGCGTTTTACATATTTGTTGTACTTCTCCGCACAACTCCGGCAATTACAAGTCTTAAGGACGCACTACTGTTCACTTTGCTGCTCTTGGGCCTTTTTCCAAGCCGGCACTGGCTTAGCACCGCGCCATTCTGGCATCCTACCGCCGCGACGTCCATCAGGAGGACCCCTTGGAGGAGCACCCCTTGGAGGAGGACCCCTTGGAGGAGGAGGAGCACCCCTTGGAGGAGGAGGACCTCTTGAATGTGGTCCCCTCGGTGCTCCATCCTGGATGGGTGGGCCTCTTGCTGAGCCTGCAGGTCCTGGACCCCTTCCATTGCCGTGGAGATCATCAAAGCGTCTCGGCGGAGAACGGGGAGGAGGTGGCGGACCACTGGCACTTCCGTTTTGGACAGTGCTTGGTGGAGGCTCATCTGTTTGCAGTGTCGCCTTTGCCCATTCGTCCGCAGAAATGGGGTTTTGGTCACTTGTCGTTGGAAAGGGAACTCTTGGATGGTGTTCTTGCTGCATGGACCGGTACGGGTCTGGTCTTTCAGGTCTGCTTGAAAGAGACAACGGTGCAGGGGGAGGCGGGGCGTCCTGAGTAGGTCTTGCCCGGGCAGCTCCCACGAAAGGGGAACTGGGCGCCTGGAACGGGGACTTGGCCGACTGGAATGGAGACGCGGCTGAGCGATATGGAGACGCCGCCGATCGATATGGTGATGCGGCTGCTCGATACGGTGAAGCCGCAGATGCGTATGTCGAAGGGAAAGGTGAGGCTCCAGCAGTTTCTTTTGCGGCAGTAGGTCGCCGCGTTGATCGTCGCATGTTAGATTTGAACCATGTGAAAAGGACATCCATATTCTTGTGGAGTACATTTCGTAACCGATATCCGTCTGGCAGGACTTTCACTTCTTCCTGGTGCACTGTGGTCGTCCCAGGTACAAAGACCAGCGTGAGACTTGTCAAATTCTTCTCTGATAATCCAAAGCAGTAAGGGATTGACTTCGGAGCACGCTCCTTTTCATTCGCGACGAACTTCTCAATGTCGCGGACGGATCCGCCTTTAAACTTGCGGTGCTCCAAGCACTCTGCGAGGTTAGAAATAATTGGGCGAAGATACTGCTCTAACACTTGGTCTACGTCTTCATAAGTGACGTCATCCAACTTCAGCCTGAGCGGTATCACGTTGTCGTCACTGTCATACTGCATTTGACAATCTTTGTGAAATACACCTCTCGGTTTTGTGTCTGTGTCCACCGGCAGTGTGGCAAACTTGCACGAAAAGATAATCCCATCACGGTCGTATTGACTAGGTCGAATGATGATGTCCCCTGGAAGACCACCCTGAAGCATGCTGATAGCCTCGTCACCAGTAACTTCGTTGAAAAGAGGGTGATGAAAGACAGGTTTGGCGTTGTGGCGGAGATTAGTCGTCGTTCTCTTTAGGCTAGGATTACTTGGCTTACGCGTCTTTTCAGCTGACTTCAATGGCAAAACACGGGCCCCATTCGGTTCTTGCTGCGGGTCCAGTACTGGATATGGGCGATACGCGGGATCTCGTTTATCCACGAGGGGCGTATATCCATGAATACTCTCGGGATTATCGATTGCGCCGCCCCTCGAAGTCAAGACTGCTTCAAACCTGTCAAACTTGAATTCCATGATTCGGCAGCGCCACGAACATCCGTCAGGTAAGAGTTTCCTCAGTTCAGCATCGCTTAACCGATCGTCATCCATAAACTGAGATTGTGGGTAGAGAGGAATGTATCCACGTATGTTATGTGGTAAGAAGCAGGACACACCGAAAATATTGCGTTGTTCAGGATTGACGATCCTCCTCCTCTCTTTCAACTGGCAGTTGGTAGCGGCCACGACACTTCCAACACGCATCATTATTGGGTCCGCTCCACTTACAAGGTAGAAAACAGCTGCAGGCTCAGGTGATCGCATCGCAATTCGGTGATCCTTGAAGGGGCCCTGGAATTCACTCGCTATTATTCGGACAGTTTCGAAGAGGCTGCCACGACCTAACTTCTCCAAGTGATCTGCGTATTCATCCAGTGCTAGCCTCTGTAACCCTCCCGGATCATCTAGCACAGCAGATGTCATTCGCAATGCCTCAGTATGCTCCTCTGATTTCGGAATTTCCACACGGAGATTCCCATCATCATCCCGAAGCGCTTCATCGGCAATCTTAATTGCCACAGCGTAGTGTTCAGGATGAACTCGAGAGTCATCCATTGGGTCAAACACCACGCCTTCGTCGTCTCGGCGCCGACCCCGAGATTTTCGAGACAGTCGAGCTCGACGAAACTCTATAGCTCGACGACTGCTGCCTCCATTGTGCAGCTCTGGATCTCTGACACGCAGAAAGGCGGCCGTCGAGAGAAACACAGTACGACCAACGTGCTTCTCAGTCCATAAATGCTTTCTAGAAGGTAGACCGCCATCTTTTTCACTCAGAGATGCCTCAAGCGTCCGCAGCAAAGCTTTAGCTTTGTGGACCCCAAGACCGCTTATATATCTCAATAGCGATTGCGTGTGCGGCAGTCGAAGCATACGGTTAATATCAACACCATTTGTACATACGGCTCGAAACAGGGCTCGTTGAAGCGCGATCAATCTCTCTTTTGGCTTAGCAAAATAGTGATATGGATGGATTTTGAGGTGTGTAGCCGACTCTTCGTCTTGACCAATTGGTGAATAGATCCACAGTGGCTCCTGTGCGAGACGACCCAGACCGATAGCACGCTTTTCCAACAGAGTCATGGCATCCACAGACAAGCCAATGGACGCAGCCTCTGTTCTAGCAAATATTCGTGCAGGGAATTCATCAGCAAGAACAATGTAGCGGGAAAGCATATGTCGTAATCCCTTGAGCTTTTCCTCCGCATCTTTGTAGTTGCCGGCGTTGTCGTCTATTTCTCGTTCAGTGACGAGCTTTCTGATTTCTTCGATTTCTCTCGGATGCAGCATTGGGGGCCTCCGCTTATCTTCTTCTCTAGAGTCGACAGCCATTTCTGCCACGATGTCAATCAGATCGGTCTGAAGGCGCATAACCGAACGGCCACCACTTCCGACCCCGATAACTATCACCTGAGCTCGTGATTGGGATATGAATGCTTTCAGCTGGTCCTTGATCGGGACTGGCAGTTTAGAATCTGGGGAATCCTTTCGGGCTGTTCTCCGAAGCCAGCCAGCAAAAATTTCGTACCCCGTCTGGTATTCTCCATTGTCGTCTAGTTCAACGAATGTCAGCCTTTCCCGAGCTATCCTCTTCTCACCACCCATCTTGTTCTTTCCCTTCGCCGACTCTAAATCCTTAGCAGCTTGGAGAGGATCTGGTTCTTCATCCTCCTCTCCTGTGACACAGACGGAGAGTACCCTGGGACAACCATTATCATTAGGATCTGGTCGTCCTGGGCCTAAGAGAAAACGTCGGGATGCTGACTGACAAAGATGACTGCGAAGGACGAGGTCTGTGTGGCTATTTAACTCTTCTGTGATTTCATTGATGAGCTCCTTTGTGATAATCCTCTTCACCTCACTGACAACATGCATCCGTTCCTCATTCCACTTTTCAACCATTTGTGACGGTACACCGGCAACAAGAAAGGAACTCTGAAGACTAGAATCAAACTTAGCAACTTGCTCCGGCTGCAGAACAACCTTGAATTGCGTAAATCCAAGATTCACAGCACGCATGACAAGGGCAAAGTCAGTAGTATTTGAGAAGGACTCAAGTTTCTTCTCCGCAAGACATGTTACTGGTCTCAATGGGTGCGTGTCGTCGACCTGAGCAATTCCCTGACGAGTTGGAATCGTTGAAATAGATACTGTCCCAGGCTTGCAGAGAATCTCACGTGCGGTCTGCATAACTTGCATATCTGCGACAATTTCTGTCACAAGTATCAAGCGAGCCGCGTTAAGAAGGCGTTCTGCCATCTTTCGGTCTGTAATGCCTGCCCTCTCTGCGGATTCCCCAAGACGATCAGCGCAAACTTTGGCAACTTCCAGAGGTTCATCATCTGCGTCAAGAGGAACATGCATCTGCATTCCTGAGCCATATTGACTGGCACTGCGGAAATTTTCTCCAAACTGTCTAGCGCTTAGCCCAAACTCTTCAGCTAGTGCCCGATAGCCGCGCTTGCAAAAGTATGTGTAGCGGTTCTTTCTCCGTGAAGGGCGTTTCGCTCGCTTGTCGTCATCATCTTCCTCCATGAAATCGGACAATGCGTTGTTCCGCTTCGTAACTACATCTGCCAGTTCAACGGCGAGATGGAGATATGCGTCAGCATCCTTTAAGCGTTGCTCGTCTTCACATGTCTCAATTATGGTCGTCACTTCCTTGACTACAAGGGAGGGTACACCTTTTTCAGCTGCTTCTTTTGTTGCAGCTAAAAGACTCTGACGCTTCTTAACCACGGAAGCGTACTTCTTGTCGAGATCTAAGATGTGCCATAGCACTCCCCAATCCCCAAATCCGTCATCATAACCTCGGGGAACTCCTTGCAGATGATCAATCGAAATACCGGGGCGGTAGCCGTCATACTGGTAGGAATTGAATCCTCTCGGAGTGCGCATAGCTCCCCGCGCCTCGAAATCCTGCTCCGATGGATTCCCACGCAATATTTCACCAGCCCTCGGAATGAGAAATGGAGTAATGTAATCCTTTCTGTACATCGCAATGAAAGGAATATCCAACTTGTCAATGTGAATGTAAGATAGGACTACAACAATCCTGTTGGTAACGGCTTCTGGTTTGTAGTGTTCAAGGTCCTGGAACATTGGATTGTCCCGGAACCCGTGGTTATATATCCAGGTTCCCTCTTCCTTCAACTCGGCATCTGTCGGAGTGCGATGATTTGGCCCGAAGTGATATTGCAACTCTTCTGGGACATCCATTGCAACGATTCGCTTCACTTCTTCTGCATCATCACCTGGACCGCTCAGCTGTGTAGCGATGTTGGCCTCTTGTGTTCCCAACTCTTCGTCGTCCGGCATGGCGTCAATATCACCGAATCTGTCGTCGTCTCGTTCGCGAATCGTGCGAAGAGGTTTTGATTCGTCTTGTTGTTCATCTTCGCCAAGGTAATCAGCGTCTTCATCGTCGTCACCGTCTTGCCCCTTCTGGAATAGCTTGTCGACGCCGCGGTATTGGGTCATTTCCTCAACATCACCAAAAATGGAGCGGGCCTGGCGCACAGCCTCGGAACTAACCAGGCCATCTCTCTCGGCAGCACGCCTGCGTCGACGACGACCGCCATCATCAATGAAGTCATCCATTTCGTCATCGTAGTCAACGGGTTCTTCAGGCTGGCGACGGCGTTCGTAAAGGTCATCCTCTTCCTCGATGTCAGCCAAGCCGCGCACTTCATCATCAAGGCCAAAGTTGTCTTCCTCATCTGCGGCGCCCTTTCGCAGACGGCGTAGTTTTTTCTTTCTATCAATGCGAACACCTTTTTCCTCGAGAAGCTCCAAGTCACCCTCTGCAAGTTCGTGAGAATCGTCGTATCTTCTACGCTTCTTCTTTTTCTTCTTCCGAATTTCTTCAAGATCGTCAGCATCGTCATCCCTGCGCATCGGAGGCAGTGGACCTGCATCATCAGCGTCACCGACATCGTCCACTATGAAGTCATCTTCCTCAAACTTGTCCTCATCGTCCGATTCCTCCACGCTAGAATCTTCAAAGTCATCCTCCTGCGGAGCTCCATTCTCGTACCCGTCTTCGTTGTCGGACATTGGGAAACCGCGTCAAGGTGGGACGAGCCAGAATGGTGAGTTTCGCGTTTATCAGGTTGAGCTGGTGTGGAGACGACGGCGGCGGTGAAACGAGAGTTTTGGCAAGAGGAAAATGGCGGTTTCAACCCCAAACAGGCGGTTTTTGGGGCGAGGTTTGTAGATATGCGCGCAGGGGGCTTTGCTTGTCCTGTCAAGGTGAAACTGCCGGACAAAGATCCCGCCCACCAACAACGGGGCTGGATGGTTCTCGTTATGATTAAATTCACGGTCCAATCACCTGCTTGGATACCAGAAGATAAGAGCTTTCCCTTCTGTATGCGCTGCTGCGAGGGTCTTCAAATCTTAATGTTTTTGTAATTATTATTTGGCCAAAGCACTTGCATAACTTGATCAATGTAATTGATCTATATGAAACGTGTAAGACGACAGAAATTAGATCATATGCCGAATCAGATAATGGCTGTATCTTATTGGCTGCTCATTTTTACGGGATTCACCACACCCTGCAATACAATTGGGCAGATCCTCGAGCTTGTTTTTTTGCCTCGTGACTCTAATCGCGATTTAAACGACAATTCGCGTCATACAATTCGCGTAGATCGACTGCGAGATTTGATGATGCTTATTGCAATCACTCCACCAACATAGCAGCACCCGTACGCTACGCTAGGGCACCGCGCACAGTAAAGCAGCAGTTATGCAACTGTCTCTCCAAAGGTGCAGTATTTAAGAGATTCCGCACCCCCATTACCCAATAGATTCGGGCTTGTCTGCCCACTCTCAACCCCCAGCTATCGCTCTCTTTCCACCCTTGACGGCTTCACAAGGTTTAAGTTCAACATGAGGACAATCGCGTTAGGCTCACAAGGTCTAGTCATATCGAAAATTGGCTATGGCTGCATGGGCCTGACCACGGCATATGGAACCAAACTGCCGGATGACGATATTGTCGCGCTACTTGAGAAGACGCATGAGCTTGGTATTACCCTCTGGGACACCGCCAACCTCTACGTTTATCCCGACTTCTTCCGACTCCTTCGTTTCTCCTCACCGCTCGTATGTCAAGAAGAAATAATCTCCAGGGCAATTGAAAAAGTCGGGAGGGAGAATATCCAGATCGCCACTAAAACTGGCGTTGAGCTTCGTCTCTTCCCAAAGTTAAGGATTGTCCCAAATGGGTCCCCCTCCTTCATCCGTCAGCAATGTGAAGATTCATTGCGTCGCTTGAAGACAGACTACCTTGATTTGTTTTATCTTCACCGCATCGACCAAACGCTTCCCATCGAGATTTCTATGATGGAGATGAAGAAGCTGGTTGAGGAAGGAAAGGTCAAATATGTTGGCCTATCTGAGTGTTCCGCTTCAACCATCCGAAGAGCCCACAGGATTCATCCCATCACTGCTGTGCAGCTTGAGTATTCCTTGTGGTGTCGCGACATTGAAACCGGGATCATGCCCACGTGTGCCGAGCTGGGCATTGGTGTTGTCGCCTATTCACCCCTTGGGCGTGGTTTCTTTGGCGGGTCCACTGGTACCACGAAGAAATATTCGTTGACTGATTTTCGCGCCAACCAACCCCGTTTCGTAGGTGAGGCTGCCGAGGGCAATGCCAAGCTGCTGGAGAACGTCCAAAAGATCGCAGATCAGAAGGGCGTCTCGACAGCCCAACTCACATTGGCCTGGGTAGAAGCGCAGGGCCATCGCCTCAACGGGGCCGGAATTGTTGCAATTCCAGGAACAACGAAGGAAAAGAACCTTATCAGCAATGTCGGATCGACGGAGATTGAACTCTCTCCAGAAGAGCTTGAGGCATTAGAAGCTGCCGTTCCGAAGGAGGCAGTCTCAGGCACCAGATATGAGGAAGGCCATGAAACGTGGGAAGCGGACAAAAATCCAGCCCTCACTCCTGAGCAGGCCGCAGAATATGGCATTCCAATGCCAGACAATCAATAAGAGGGGAAGGCCGGATAGAATTTATACCGGATGAAATGTGTCAGAATTCAACTTGCGAAGCCGAGTCCACGGCACACGCGCTGGCTTGGACGAAGAGTCCAACTGACGGCTGTCAAGTTTCTAACCTGACACAGCCCTTGCGAAACATGATGTTCTCCTGATCGGGAGCATGTGAACCATCTGGATGCTGTGACAGTAGATGTAGGTCTCATTAGTTCTTACTGTAGCCGATAATTACAAAAATAGCCAAATAGCAGTGTTCAAATGCGTTGTGATGCCCTATGATAAGAGGCTAGTTAATTCTTTCGCTGTGTCTTAACTTGCCCGGGTTTGACTCCCACCTTCACCTTCAAATGTTCTTTTCAGCGATGAAATCGTTGTCATACCTGGATACGGTACAGACTACAGACCTGGACAGAAAGAAAGAATTGCAAAGCGAAATAGAACTGCCAACTCTGATTAGCGAATTGTTTGAAACCGCAATAACGGAAGACTCAAGTCAGTAATGCGAACACTCTAGAAAGAGTCGGTCCCACCCCCCCCCCCCCCCCCCCCCCACACACACATTGTGAGTGTGTGCACTCACTTTCGTTTCACTCATCCTTGAAGAATACGAGTTAATCCCCACCGTTGCTTTCACAGAAGGTTACATTTACTTAACATAGATACATACACCCTACCTCGCTCCTCTACTTACAGGCTTTCTCTTAGTGCTACCTGTACCGCCAAGTAGCGCCTCCCAGTCGTCGCCAGTCGACTTTTTGTTCCTTCTACTCGAGGTAGAATTCAAACCCATTCCTGATGCAGTTGTGCGAGTTGTCGGCGGTCGCGGTTTGGGCTTGGAAACCATTGGAGGTGCCAGGTTCCAAAGATCACCCCCACCCGCCATTGATCCGCTTGCGCTGCTCGTGTTGCTTCCACTTCGAGGGATTCCTCCAGGCACCGCTTTCGGTTTTGACGTAGGGTTGCCCATCATGGAAACAAAGAGGTCCTCTTCATCTATGGGCTTTGTGCCTGCTGCTGGTTTGATGTCCATATCACCCCAGCCGTCGTCATCATCATCTTCCGGAAGCTCATTGCCAGCGTCGTTGAAATCGGAAAAGGTGTTCATAGCACTACCTAAGCTTTGAGCTGTGAGTGGAGTCGGGGCGAAAGCTGCTGGAGCGGAAACATTGCTACCAGCGTTTCCACCGCCATTCGTGCTCCCCCATGTATCGCTACTCATTGCAGTAGGTGCCTTTACCATTGCCGGAGGCTTTCCATTGGAAGTCACTGCAGCAGTTGGCCGTCCTCGCTTGAAATCTTCCGAAGAAATTCCCGTTGATGTGCTACTACTTTGAGCGGGTGTGTCTGACTTGTTCAGCAAAGCGGCCGTCATCGATGAAAATGAGCTCAATCCCCACCCCGACCCCAATGAGGCACTACCAGACTTGAAACCAGAGGTCTCTTTGTTCTGAGCGTGGTTAGCGCTTGAAGACTCTTCGGTACGGGACATCTCTTCATGGTTTCTCGTGAGGGTACTCTGAAACTCGGCGACAACCTTAAATGCGAGCTGGCGAACATCGCCAGATTTGTCAATAAGTAGCGGTATAATCGCAGGAAGCAACCGAGTAGCAATATCCTTCACTGAGTACGTATCGGTGGTGATCAAGATTGCATTCACACCAGCTGCCCTTGCATGAGGGAAAGGATCTTTTAGAGACCGCAGAAATGCCGCCGCCAGAACCTTGTTGCGCGCGGCCTGGCTAAGTTGCGGGGCAAGCTTACCCAGGCACACAGTCGTATTTGTCCGAATGGCGGGTTCAGGGTCGACCTGCAAACGGGCAAAATGCGACATGAGGACGGAGTTGAGGTTCTTGTCAGTCAGTCTATTGCAGATGCTCAGCACTGCCTTGACAGCCCCATCCCGCAAAGCCGGTGCTTGCATATCCTGAAACGAAGCGCACATCGCAGGGAACAAGACTGTGTTGAGTGCATTGTCGTCAAAGTGCTTGCTGAACAAATCCAACTTGCTGTAAAGCTGCACTTTGAGATTACGGTCAAGACCATGATTCCCGTACCAGCCGACAGCATATTTCTTAACGACAATATTCGCAAAGTCGTGTTCGCTCAGCCTATCCGCCATCTTAACGATACATGCAAAGGCTGCAACAGCTCCCGCACCCGTCTCTAAGCTCTGACTAAGCATCGGGAGGACCTTAAACGTACAAAACCCATCCGGTAGCCTATCCATAATAGTGGATAGCTTTCCTAAAAAGGCCTCTCGTTCCAGCTGCCCCTTGAGCGCCAAGTTCTCTACAAACATATTCAGTTCGACAAACTTTGATTTCTGAAAGTAGGGATGGTTTGGCAATTGCCCGGCAGGGGCTCGATTCGATGCGTTGCTCGCAAGCAACTTCTGATACGCCGACAGAATCTGCTTTGGCAGAGCAGAGATATTCTGCAGTTGATCTGGCGATGTTAGACTCCCGGCATGAGCCTCATACATAAGGCATCCCAAGGCCCACGAATCAACCGCACCCGGGGCGCCGGACGCAATGCCAGACCAATTACCCCGCGCGAACTCTGGGCTCTGGTACTCATGCCTCTGCAGCTGGGCGGCATGCTGAGTCAAGCTCGCCGCAGACGAATGCGCGGTGACACACTCGAAGCCCGCGAGCTTCCAATCCCCCTGCGGCGTAACAAACACAGTGGCTGGGTTTAGCCTGCCATGAATGAGACTCGAATCGTGCAAAAACCCCAAAGCGCGGGCGGTAGTGTACAATCCCCACAAAACCGTTTCCCTGTCAAGCGGCGAACTGGCGTCTGCAAGGATGGTTGCAAGCGGGGTGGCGGGTTCCGTGGCGACGTAGATGGTGCCGTCTGGCCCTTCGACTGATGCGATGTACTTGAGGACGTCTGGGTGGCGGAGGGTTTTCAGGCGCTGCAAGCAAGACTTTGCGAGCGCGGCTTGCGAGGATGTCGACCCGGGCTTGGAGCCGTCGAAGTGGAAGACGAGGGAGGGGTCGTGCGTGGACTTTGACTTGCCGTGATGTAGCGCCCAGATGTTGGCGGGGTCATGCGAGGCGATGGGCGTGTCAAGGGAGTGGGTGAAGCCAAGGTCCTTCTGGATGAGCTTCTGGAAGTACTGCATGACGGAGGAGAGGGGATGTTAGCGAGTTAGGTAGGACGCTGGGGAGTTGGGAGCGGAATGAGAGGAGAAACAAATCCGTTTTCGTGGAGAAGGAAGGCCCTTGCTTGCTTGGAGGCTGGGTGTGACAAGGATTCACCAAGCCTCCTTGTCGCTGCCGAAATTCGGATCTCCATCGCCGATCGCGATTCGCAGCAACAAGTGTCAGCCCTGCCACGTGTGCAAGCCATCAGCAGGACCGCTTCAATCATCATCCATCCCGATCACAAAGTCTCCTTCCAACTCCGTCGTGCCCATCAACAACCTCATCCCCTCAACAGTTCATCGCCTTCCCCCCCCCTCCCCGCCCTATGCCGCCATCCCCTTCACGACCTGCTGCCATGGTCCAAGAGGCGAGCATCGATTCCGCGGACGACTCCGCCGCTAACTCCACCCTCACGGCCTCCCAACGCACAGCCCTTGCCACGTTTCGCGCCGTCACCTCTATCGCCTCCGACGCAGACGCCCTTCCGCATCTCACCGCCACCAACTGGAACCTCGAGCGCGCCGTCGACCACTTCCTCGAACCCGCGGCCTCCTCCCCCTCCACTCCCAATGACAACGGTGCCCCAGCCCCACCGCCACCGACAACCACCGCCGTTGCCAACCCCAACCCGCGCCCCTTTCCCCGATGGCTGCTTGCCCTAACCTCCCCTCTCCGATTCGTCTGGTCCCTCTTCTCCGGCCTGACTAGCGCCCTCATCCGTCTCTTCGGCACGGGCCCGAACCGCGCCATCGAAGCTGCCCCTGGCGCGACGCCCTCGGCACGTTTTGCCTCCTTCTTCGACGCCCGCTATGGCACCTCGCACCCCCCTTTCTACCTCGGCCCCTACTTCTCCGCCCTCGCTGCCGCGCAATCCAACCTCCAGTTCCTCCTCGTCTACGTCCATTCGGAATCTCATCGCCTCACCCCGCGCTTTTCCCGCGAAGTGCTTTGCGCCCCCTCGCTAGTCACTGCCGCAGAACCTATGGTCTTCTGGGCCGCGAGCGTATCGCAACGCGATGGAGCCGCCGTGCAGCGCGCGCTGCGTGCGCCGGCGCTCCCGTTTTTGGCTATCGTCGCCCCGCCGAGCAGCCGCGTCAGTCCAGATGCAGACTTGGCACTGGCGAATTACGGAACTGTCCTCGCCGTACGGGCTGGGTTTCCGGCGCTGAATGGTGGTGGAGATGGTGCTGCGGCGTGGGTTGATCGTGTCTTAGCGAGGCACGGCGGTATTCTTGTGGCTGCGAGGCAGCAACGGGATGAGAGGGAGAGCGCGAGACTGCTCCGGGAGCAACAGGATATGGAGTACGCCGCCGCGCTGGAGGAGGACAGGGAGAAGGAGAGGAAGGCGCAGGAGGAGCAGGACAGGGTAGAAGGGGAGAGGGAGCGCTTGCGAGGGCTGGAAGTCAGACGTGAACGAAAACGCGAGGCGTTGGGGGAGGAACCGGAGAAGGGGCCTGGTGTGGCTAGTGTCGTCATGAGGCTGCCGGATGGAAGCAGAGTGGGGAGGCGGTTTGAAAAGGCGAACGCTATGGAGGTCGTCTTCGATTGGGCAGAGGTTAATCGAGTCGACATCGAAAAAGCAAGTTTGGTTACAACCTACCCGAGGAGGAGCTTGAGATATCCGGAAGATGCGGATATGACTGTGGAACAAGCGGGGCTGTTTCCTAGCGCTATGCTGCTTTTGGAGGAAAGATCGGATGAGTAGACTAGTTCGAAAGTTTGGCGGAGGCCGAAGCCCGCTTCGTTGTATAAAGGGATCGTTTAACATTTACGTTTTCCATAGCGCGAAAGTGTACCTGACCAGCTCTTTCGTCGGCGCTAACAAGTTGAGAGCATAATCGCAGACGCTGAAGTAAGCCAAGACCCCGCACAGCCCTCCAGCCAGTACTCGCAGATCCTACTAGGAGCGACCGCAGATGGCCTGCTGTCTGGAACGACGTGAAATACAAGTACAGTATTACCATCGGGGCAGAGGAAAGATGGCATTGTCCCAGCGAAAAGAAGGCAAGAGTCGAATGACGCCAGCCCGATGGTGGTGATGAGGTTTGCCTCGAAGAACAAACTTTCGGCCGTTAAATTTCAAAACAAGTCGCTTTAATCATCTCTCAATATGAACGGCTGTAGCCAGAAGGAGCCTCTTAAAGGCCTCAACGTTGTGCTCCCTCCCTCGCCTTGCCGTCTTTCAAACACGCAGAGAGGCTGCATCACGAAGTAAGAACATGTCACCATGTGAATCTTTCACTTACAAACTCAAGCACAGACAAGATGAGAGCTGACGGCCTCCGCTCTGACCACAGATGCGGAGCAGCGCAACATTCCAAAGAGTCGCGGGGTTGGTGGAGTGTGTCACAATCCGTGACATGCAACCATATGTATGCGCATACCACGTAAATGTATGGGTCCCACAGCCATCCATTTACGCAAGCTTGCATCGCAACCTCCAAGAGCAAATGGACATGGCATGACTCAATCAAAGTATATGCTAACCCTCTGACATGGTGCCCCACTCAAGCGCAATAAAAACAAGGCAGCCAGAAACTGGTTTGAATGACATTCCAAAGGCTTGCCTTTTCACAGCGGCGGCTCGAATCCCGGTTGAATGTTGGTGCCATTAAACACGGAGTAAAAATGGATCAATCCTTTCGGCACGCGCGGATACTTGAGAATATCAAAATCTGTCTTGTAGTACTGGAGGGCCAACTTGATAGTGGTGGGGGAATAAAAATCACTGAGGGGCTTCGAGTACACGGGTTTTCTGTTCATCTCGAAAGAGGCCGTGTCCTCGTTCCACCCCAGGACGGTAAGCAAAGCATCGGCATCGTCCTGCAGCGATTCCAAGTGGAGGTACACATCATACTTGATGTGGTCTAAGGCGCACAAGTCGGTCTGTGGGCGCCAGTGCTCGTTACTTGGGGTGAGGTTGTCGTCGGTCAAGAGACAGACTAAAAAGTCATGGAGCGATAACAAAGGCCCCGCTTCTGGCATAACCCTCTCCGCTATCATGTGTGGGCACTCCTCCGTGAGATGTTTTCCCCAAAAATCGCGCCTCTGATTCGGCCACGGGTAGGCGATTTTATTCTGATACGCCGAAACCAGCCTGGCGAAAGGGTCTCTGACGACGACGAACTTGCGGATGTCGGGGCTGGCGAGCTGGCTCATAGCCTCTCGGGGCTTGAGCGCGGCGAGTCTGGGGAGGCCGTTGTGGCGGCCGTGTATGAGGGCGGGGTCCTCCCAATCAGGGAAGCCGGCGCGCTTGCGGAAGAGGGCCTTGAAGCGGCTGCACGCGTTCTTCGGGATGTAGCAGTAGAGAACCGGGGCGCGCGGGAGGCCGTAGATGTTGCGCGGGATGGCCGGGAGCGAGGACAGGGGACGCGTCGGGGTTATGGCGGGCCATGCTTTCTGGCGGCGATGACGGCGCAGGAGAGTGAGGAGGAGCAGCAGAAGGAGGCAGACGGCGGCGAGATT